GGTCGCCACGCCGGCGGCGCGCGTGCAGGAGCCAGTCCGTGTGATCATGGCGCACTCTGTCGAGATGGAAGAGGCCGAGGCGGTCTTGAGCCGCGCCATGGTTGCATGCATCACCGGCAACAGGCCGCGCGTGTCCGCCATCGAGGTCTCCGACGTGCTGCTTGCCAACTTTGACCTCGTCGACAGCGACTTCACCGTCCATGCCCACCATCCCGAGGACTTCCTAATCCTATTCAGCTCCCAGGCAACCAAGCGCCGGCTGGACGGCAACCACTTCATCAACTCGCCATGCTTCTCCCTCTCCCTCAGGCCCTGGAGCAAGCTGGCTCACGCCGGTTTCGACGAGTTCGAGTTTTGCGTCGAGCTGGAGCTTCGTGGCATCCCTGCCCAGGCTTGGCACCTCTCCACCGCCGAGCACATCCTGGGAGCGAGCTGCTGGATTGAGCGCCTCCACCCCAACACACGCTCCAGGGCGGACCTGGCCACGTTCCGGCTGGTAGGGCGCACACATTGTCCAGACAGCATTCGCCACAATGCCATTTTGGAGATTGTTGAGCAGATCCCCCCGCCCGCCTGAGCTTCGACGCACCAATCATCAAGACGCTCACATACCCTGTCGCCATCGCGCTGGCGCGGGTCGTGCCGACCGGCACATCGTCCCTCGGCGCCCAACCTGGCGCTGGACAAGGTGGAGCGGGCACGTGCGATGATGCCGGCCGTGACCGCGCCCCCGGCCCAGGCAGGGCGCGTCGTCGTGGCCGTAAGCGCCGGCGTACGGATGCGCCACCTGCAGGCCGTGCGGATGGCATGGCCATGGATTCCGCCCTCTGGTGCTCCGGCAACTGTGTTGTCCGCGCGGATGGTGTGACCATGGCTCCATCTTGGCCAACCCCAGCCGCGATGGATGCACCGCCGCCCGTACAGCAACCTTGCCGCAGCATGGCCCCGTGGCCGGGTCAGCATGGGCCCACCAACCACCATCACGCTGCCAGAAAAGGAAGGGGAAGAGGAAAGCAAAAGAGGGCTTTGCCGGTGGACCAGGAGCGCAGCGACGCAGACAAAGCAGAGCCCCACAGGGCGATGACGAATGTGGCTGCTAGTGGCCCATCCTTGACCGTGGGAGCCTTGGTGCAGGAGCCAGTCATTGGTGGCAGCCACCCCAGAAGCATCTCCAGATCCAAATCAGGCCAAGATCACCGCAACCGAGGCGGGCGGATCACGAAAACCCCACGCCCGAGACGGATCGCGAGAGCCCCGTGCACAGCCCCATGCCTGGCTCGCCTGATCCGATGCGCTGCAGCGACCGGTCTGCCCTGAGCGTGGTGCCAGACTCCCAGCCAGAGGGACCAGCTATCCTGTCGGGGCAAAGTGTTGCCACGCTGACGCCAACATCTGTTGCGGGGCCAGACAAACCAGACCAACTCCATGCACGAGATGAGGAGGACAGGGGAGGGCAACCCACCGCTAGCGGTAGCCCCACTACCAGACAGGCCGAGCCCCACACCCCGGTGAGAATACTGCAAAGGCCTGCGGCCCAGCCCACGATCAATCCGCCCACGATGACAAGGCCCTCTGCGGATACGCCAGCCCCAACTAGCGTACAGCAAGACCAGCACAACTCTGCATCAGGGCGGTTCGCCTCCCCGCCGATCACGCTACGTCGATCCCGAGGCCGCACAGCTCCGCCGCGCACTTGGACTTTGGGCGAGTTCCTGGCCGCCGCCACGAAGCACATCACCGCAGCCCTGCCTACCCCGGGGAGAAGACCACGGCGCCCGCTCAACTTCACTCCGCGGCGAGGCCGCTCGGCCAAGACAGCAGCCTCCCCGCCGGCGGCTCCGCCCACTGCTGAAAGAAGATCGCAAGTTCAGATCTTGCGCACCCTGGGAATAGTCGGGACAAGCCAGAAGATCACACCGGCTGAGATGAAGGCGTATGATGATCTGTTCGCAACACCCATCCCACTCTCGGTGCTCACAGCCATCGCCGCTCTGGTTGACCGCGACATCCCTACGTGCATGGCCACTCCAGCAACTGTCCCGACAAGCAATGCTGCGGTACGCGCGCAATGAGCCGCACGCACACACCCCCTGTCAACCTGGTGTGCATGGATCACAACCTTAGACTTGTTGTTTGGAACGTGCGTGGCCTTAATGCGCGCGCCCAACGCACGGCGATCCGCTCGTTGATTGTAACCACCTCCGCCTCCATTGTTTGCCTTCAAGAAACAAAAATGGCGTTGATTTGCTCGTCGGTTGTTCTGGACACCCTGTGCTCCGAATTGATGACTACATGTACCTCCCGGCGCAAGGCACGCGGGGCGGCATCCTGCTTGCATGGAAGAGCAACAACGTGACCATCACGGATCCTTTGCTCACCATGAACGCTCTCATAGCCAAGGTGACCACGGCCACAGGTGCGCCCTGATGGCTGTCGGTCGTCTACGGTCCCCAGGAGGATGCAGACAAGATTGCATTCATGCAAGAACTGAGAGACGTGTGCGCGAGCTGCCTCGGGCCATGGATGGTGTGTGGAGACTTCAACTTAATCCTCCGTGATGAGGACAAGAGCAGGGGCAATCTGAACCGCCGCATGATGGGCCGGTTCCGCCGCCTCACCAATGACCTCATGCTGAAAGAGGTATACCTCAACGGACGGCGCTTCACGTGGTCAAATGAACAATCGCCGCCCACTTTGGTGCACTTGGACCGCGTACTCTGCACCTCGGATTGGGAAGGCGCGCACGCAGACTGCCACTTGCGTTGCCTCGCGTCCGTCGTGTCAGACCACAGCCCACTCCTGCTCGACTGCTCACCTACGCACACGGCGAGACGACGCTTCCATTTTGAAGACTACTGGATGCGCTTACCTGGATTCCAGGACACGGTGGCCACGGCATGGGGATCAGTCCATGACCCGGATCCTTTCCGTCGCTTGATGTTGCCCTTACAGGCAACTGCGCGCATGCTCACGAGCTGGAGTGCCAAGGCAGCGTGCATACGGGACAAGATGGCTGCATACGGGACAAGATGGCGATCTCCCGCGAGCTCATCTCACGATTCGACAAGGCCCAAGAGGATCGCCTGCTATCACCCCCGGAGGACTGGTTACGCAAGCAGATCAAGATCGCATACCTCGGACTGGCCTCCCTTGAGCGCACCATAGCCAGGCAGCGTGCCTGCATCACCACGCTCAAAGAGGGTGACACCAACACGGCCTTCTTCCACAGGCAATGCTCATACCGTCGACAGAAGAATCACATCCACGCCCTTACCGTCGACGGCCAGGTTATCACCGGCCAAGAGGAGATGGCGCAGGCAGCATTCGCCCACTTCGACGAGCTCTTTGGCTGCCCTGCCGCACGCGACTGCTCGCTGGACCTCGAGCACCTCATCGAGCCTTGCGACCTGGCAGGCCTCGACGAGCCGTTCAGCCCCGAGGAAATATGGAACGCCATCAAGCTCCTGTCGGCTCGCAAAGCTCCCGGGCCGAACGGGTTTACTGCTGAGTTCGTCAGGGCCTGTTGGGGCACCATCCGGCAAGATTTCTTGGACGTCTTTCAGCAGCTATTTGAGTTGCGAAGCCGAGGTTTCTACAAGCTTAACCAGGCACTACCGACCCTGATCCCCAAGCGTGCCAATGCCAACGAACTATGCGACTACATCTCGTGGCCAAAATATTCACGAAGGTGATATCCCTCCGACTTGCACCCAGAATTGGCGGCTTGGTCAGTCCAAACCAAAATGCGTTCATCCCAGCAAGAAGCCTCCACGACAACTTCGTTCTGGTCAAGCAATCTCTCAAACTGCTGCACCAGCTCAAGGCCCCGCGGATTATGCTCAAATTGGACCTCACGCGGGCCTTTGATTCCCTATCGTGGCCATTCCTCTTTGAGGTTCTTGGACAGTATGGATTCGGGCCTCGATTCAGGGAGTGGATAGCAATCCTCCTCACAACATCCATCACCCGCGTCATGGTCAACGGCGAACCCGGCCCACCAATCTGGCTACGATGTGGTCTGCGCCAGGGTGACCCCATGTCCCCGCAGCTCTTTGTGCTCACGGTCGACACCCTCAGCCGCCTCGTGCGACGCGCCCACGACTACAGAATACTACAGCCGCTGCACCCCTGACGAGCTATTCCGGCGATCTCACTATACGCCGATGATGCGATGATATTCTGCCATGCCACCCAGGACGACGTGGCAGCCATCAAGGGCATCTTAACCCTGTTTGGCCAAGCAAGTGGACTCCGGGTGAATTATGCAAAGAGCTCAGCTACCATCCTCCATGGCGAACCCACGACGGCCGAGGTGATCACCCAACTTGGATGCCCGGTGGTTGAGCTGCCCATCACCTACCTTGGTATACCGTTAACACTCCGCCGACCCTCTGCCGCACAGTTACAGCCCCTCGTCGACTCGGTGGCCGCCCGGCTCCCGACATGGAAAGCTTGGCTCATGAACAAAGCCGAAAGGCTCGCACTAGTCAAGTCGGTGCTGAGTGCTATCCCAGTCCACCAGCTGCTCGCCTTTGCCCCGCCCAAGAAGACACTAAAGCAGCTAGAGAAAATCCAGCGGGGTTTTTTGTGGGCCGGCCGCGCCATCGCCAACAGAGGAAACTGTCATGTCAATTGGCGCCGCGCCTGCCGCCCTGTGGAATATGGTGGCCTTGGGATCCGAGACCTGGAGCGCACAGGCCTTGCACTACGGCTGCGATGGATGTGGCTCGCCCGCACGGACACTGACCGCGCATGGCAAGGCCTTGATCTCCAGTTCTCCAAGGAGGAGCGTGCACTGTTCTTCGCATCCACTACTATGATGCTCGGCGATGGCCGGACAGCACTCTTCTGGGTCGACCGATGGATCAGCGGCCAATCTGTCCATGAGATCGCCCCCTGCTATACCAATGCATACCCAAGCAGCGACGCAAGACGTGAACAGTGGCCGATGGACTCAACGGGAACACTTGGGCCCGAGACATTCAAGGAACCATCGGGATACACGAGATTGGCCAGTACCTGATGCTATGGTAGGCGATACAGCACTTCACCCTATCGGAAGAACCCGACCGGCTGCTTTGGAGATGGATAACAAGCGCTACATATTCGGCCCAATCTTGCTATGCAGCCACCTTCCAGGGATCTACACGCTGCCACTCGTGGAAGCTGATTTGGAAGAGTTGGGCGCCACCCCGCGTCAAATTCTTCCACTGGCTTGCCTACCAGGACCGATGTTGGACGGCGTCAAGACTTGCTAGCCGCGGCCTGCAGCACCACCCTAGGTGCCTCCTCTGCGATCAAGACCCGGAGACCATCCAACATCTGCTACTGGCATGCCCGTTTGCTAAGCAGATCTGGCACCTCATCCTGGACTTGACGCACATCCCTGCCCAAACGCCGGCCAATGACACCACCTTGATGGACTGGTGGATGCGGGCGAAGGCGCAAACCCCTCCAACGCTGCACAAAGCTCTGCAATCAATCACACTGCTCGTTCCCTGGATGATCTGGAAACAGAGGAACGAGTGCGTCTTCGACAATGCAAGGCCCTCGATAGATGCGCTAGTTGATAGGATTAAAGACGAGGCCAAATGTTGGGCACAAGCTGGGGCACAGGGGCTGCGAGTAGTCTTGCCCGCCTCCTGGGATGTCCACTGATCGGAGGAGCTAGGACCCTGTAAATATAACCTCCTAGGAGGCATGTACTCCCCCACCTTTTCAATGCAATGAAACGCAAAATCGCTTTGCGTTTTCTCGAATTTTTTTTGATAAACACAATATGTTTTTCCGCAAATTGTGACTGCCTGAGACCCTGAAGTTATAGTTTGTCAGATGGATTTGATTAAAAGGGTGAGTCGCCATAAGCTTGAAGCCTTGAACTGGCCTTAAAATACTGATATGGCCAATATGCTCACATACTTAAATGAAAGTAGCAAGCCTGATCCACACGCAAACTGAAGGACCATTCAGTAAGGAAAATATTGGGCATGCCTGGGTGTTATTGGCCTGATGATAATGGGAACTGATTTCAAACAAATAATTACATTGTTTCAAGTAATTCTCAATATTTTAATAGACATAGACCATCTGAGTTTACTGCTTCATTCAGAACATAGAGTAATAGGGAGTTCTCTTCAGGTCTTTCTGCATAAAATGTTTTACTACCATAAATTTTGTGTTGAAACCAACATTATTCAAATATAAATCAAAACTATATTATGCACAAAAATGTGTGGAAACAATAATATTTTATCTGTTAGCATCTTAGAATATGTAGCAGTACCAGGACAAAAGGAAAATCTTGTAACTCACAATAACAAAAATGCTAGCTAGTTATTGTAGATTTAACTTTTGAGGCAAAAAATATAACATGTTTGTATGGCAAATCTGCATATGTTGAGAGAGGTACAGCTGGTAGTGTAGTGATACCTTCACTTACTTCAGGCTTTTCATGCAGATGCATCATTGTGGGAATGGATGGTCCATATATGTCAGCATCTAGCAAACCAACCTTAAGCTTAAACTCCTTCGCAAGTGCTACAGCAATGTTAACTGTAACAAAACAAGTACCAGATATAAGGAGCATTTTATCAAATAAGTGATATGCCTCTCCATTTCTGCACAAGAATCATAAGTTGTTTATCTTGATTCAGTATAAGTTTGGTTCATGACAGTTTCCATGAAAAGTAAAGGGAAAGTATGCACCTATATCATTGGCATCTAGCTCTCCAGAGCGGAACATTACGTTGAATACCTTAACCGGAATCAATTCTACTTAATGATAGTTAATGGTCATATATCAAGTCTAGCATCATTGCTGCTTCCAGGTGAATTTACAGTTTTTTTTCCCTTTTAGGAAGTATATATGAATTCTAGAATCCTAATGCATTTTCCGATATACAACCTCTGTAACTTAATGTAAAACGTTTTTGCAGTTTAATTTGAAAAGAAGAAACCAAAAACGAACCTGCAGTGGTGGACTTGCCGACACCGCCTTTCCCCGAGGCGACAGCAATGATGTCACTTACGCCACTGATTGACAGCCCGCCCTTTGGGGCGGCGCTGTAGCATCTCCTGCTACCAAGCAACCCCTATAAAAAGCAGGACTGTGAGCACATTTCCAGAAAGCAATTCGGTGGAATGAGCAAGAAATGGACGCAAATGTGCAGCGGCCTCCTGGGGGAAAATTGAATCATTTGGCAGCTATAGGAGAAGAGCTGTGGTCTCACCGAGCGAGAGGCAATCCGGAGCATCGGGAAGAAACAGCCCTGCCGGAAAGAGAACGTAGGTTCTTCTTTTCCCCTTCTCTGTTACTGGGACGGTGTGGTGGGAGGAGGTATGGGAAGGCTGGTGGTGGGCGGGAGAGGTCGCGGATTCGCTAGGTTGAGGTGGGACGAGGAGTCCTGCAGGAGCGGCGGCACCAGAAGGGATCCGGTGGAAGTCGATGGCGGCGACCTTCCAGGAGGCGGCGGCGTCTGTGACGGGAAGGGTGTTTCGTTGGTTCGACTTGGATGGCAGACGGTGAGGGACCCGCGGCTTGGGCCATATGGGCCGTACGCCCGTGCCTCATGGACCAGCCCACGGGCACATAATCTCACGGGCCTGGCACAGCACATGATTAAAAGGGCCAGGCCGGACTTCTGCCCGTCACGGATCAAGGCCGATCCCCCCGAGGCCAAGACTTCAGGTGGATCCTATTTGACGCTCGTTAGCGTCAGAACATTGTGGCTTCGCTGAAGCCAGCGTTTAGACGGGCCGGCCCTTTTCGACTCTTGTGTACTACTGTTTCAAGTCCTTTTCGCCCTTCTCTGCTTCCTTCTTTTCCTCTCTTTCTCGTCTCGCTTCCCCAGCCGGCGTTTCTCTTCTCTCTTCGCTTGCTTCTTCTCTGTATCTTCGTGACTCCCCGGCCGGCGTTTTCTCTTCGCGGAATTGGTTGCCGCCATGGCTGCGCAAGGTTCGTTGTTCATCTCCCATCTTTTCCATGGCGGATTTGAGAAGCAGGTTGTAGTTACTGTTTCGGTCTCGACCCATTTAGTTCTACGATTATGGTTTCGTATGGAGTGGGGAGCTGGTTGATGCGGCTCTGTTCGTTCGATCTGCTAGGGATTGCTTTGTTTTGGTTGGAATTCGTCCCTGTTTCTTGACCCCTAGATCAATCTCGTGCTCCTTTTTGGTAGGAATTGGTGATCCAAGTAGTTGATGTGTTCGATCTGGTTGGGGTTGCTCATCACAGTAGTTGTTTTGCTCGATTTTGGTAGGGATTGCTCATCCTAGTTGTTGTTTTGTTCGTTCTGGTAGGGATTACTCATACTAGTTGTCGGTTTGTGTGATTTTTGGAAATACTTCGGTGCTCATACCAGTAGTTGGTGCTTGCATTTGTTTTTATGTGAAGAATTGGTCATCACAGTACTTGGTTTCTTAAGGAAAAAGTATGTCCACTCTATCCATGACTTATGAGCAATTTTTCTGTGACGAAAAGGTTAAAAATAGTGTTTGGTTTACAGATTTTGTTTTGTTGTTTGACCTGAACTAATATGACTCTTAAGTAATCACATTCCTTTTTTAATAGGTTACTTGTTAGCAATTCATTTGTATATTATCTATCAGCTTTTCTTGCACTATCTTCACTTTTGGTGTTGTTTTATGACTCTGAGTTTTATACCTTCCTCTATTTCTTTTTCTAGGGCAAAATGTTCCTGTACGGTCCACTGCGACTTTCTGGTCACGGTTTTCTACTCTTCGTTGGGCCAAAGTTGTTAGTAAGATGTCTCCTTTGCAGAGAAGCTTTATGCTAGACTAATTCAAACATCTTCTGAATGTGCGCAGACATGGATTTGTTGCAATGGTTAGCAAAGCATATGCGCTATGGTTAAGTAGGCATTTTCTAGCACAACAACAAAGTCCTTCATATCGCCGGTTGACATATGCGCTATGGAAGAACAATCTGGTCCAGTTGGCTTCCTGAGTCTAGAATTAGAGTAGATCGAGTGAAATGTAAAAGCGAAACCTCTCAATCTGAACACTAGTTGGTGCTTGGATGTGTTTCGTTTCTCACAAATTTGGCAGTTCTGATGTGATGATGTTCTTCCATAGTTAGTGAAGTTTGGTCCCCAAATAGTATGTGCAAGGTGATTCATAGTGTTATTTCGTTAAGCAATTTTCCTTATTCTGCATGGGTGCTATTTTTTCAATCATTCTCAATCTGAACATGACATATGTCTTCCATATGCAGTGAAGTTTGGTCCCATATTTTTATAAGAAAAGGTGAAACAAAGTGATGTTTCCTTTTGTGCTGGGTGGTTCTAATTTTATTGCCTTTTGCAGAGTTTGCCATGCAGAATATCATCTACTTCAGCATGGTTCTAATTAACTTGTCATTATGTGTATTTGTTTCTTACTTAATCAACTTTCAGCATAAAAAGGAATTTTTTATGTTTATTAACATTCCAACATTTGGTCATCGTCTATTAAACTTATTCACTTTCTGTTCAACTAAATTCTTAAGAGTTCATTCGTTCCATATTTTTGTTTAACCTATTAAAGTCTATTGTTCAATTTTGGTAGGCCTTAAACATTTTTAATGTACGTTGAACATTTTTTTAATACACATTGAACATTTTGTGTAATCGATGCTGAACAATTTCCGAATACACACTGAACATTTTTGTGTAATATACGTTGAACACATTCTTAATAAGCGAGAACAATTTTATAATGCATAGTTAATGTTTTTTTAAATATACCATGAACAATTTTGTAATATAAGATGAATATTTTTGTATAAAATATGGAACATTTGTTTGCGACAAAAAACTGAATATTTGTTTTTAATAGGTTAAATAGAAAAAAACAAATTTGAACGTTTGTTAAACATTTTTATTAATTGCCTGGATTTTTTGTTTAATATATTTACATATCTCTTTTTTGTTCAAATTGTTAACAAAAAAGATGTTCAACTACTTATTTATGGTTGAACAATTGTTTATTAAACCTGTTTCATTCGGCTCAACATTTGTCAAATCAATTCTTGTTCATTCCATTCTTTAAACTTGTTCATTAAAAAGGTTCAGCTACTTTTATTATTAAAGAAATTCATGAGAAGTTCTTATATCACATAGTCAATTGTAAAGACAATGAAATTCAACTACCACTGGTGAAATCATTCCTGCATGAACATGTACATATTAATCTTATTCAACATTTTACAGCAATAGAGGGTTGTTAGATATGATTTTGTGGCCTAACTTTATTTAATTTCTTCCTATTCTTCAGCGATTCCGCATATTCAAATTAATCTCACGAGGAACATATTTTCCTTGGAAATACAATAGTGGTGCATAAGCCTACTTTTGCTGATATTACGAGTAATCTTTTTTTTCTTCGCACTTGATAATGTTCTTTTCCAACAATTAACATAAATTAAATTGTTACAGGTGCACAGAGACATGGATGAACAGATGTACAAGTGGATAGAATTACAAATGCAAAGAGAGCCAACAAATATCTGCCCACTTGTGAAACTAGTTTTTTCTGTGAGAAAATTTATTCCATTCTGTAGCAAGTTGTGCCAAAACAATGTTTCTGCTGATTCTTTTTGTCTCTGAATATTGTAACAACACAAGAATTTACCCTTCACTTTACTCTTCAATTTTATATATACACTGAACATTTGTTTTTTTTCTCATTCTAATTACTCTTCAAATTACTAGAAGATATATTGCTGCAAATTCAGAACCAACAATTAGTACAAATTCTTGTACTAAAAGTTGTTGATTCTTATTATTATCCTCAGGTCTGCATTTCTCACTGTACAAATGCAGAAACAAAATTATTGTACAAACTTTTGAAACAACTGAAACAGTCACGAAAAAGTTCAGGAAACAGCCACGAAAAGGTACAGGAAACAGCCACGAAAAAGTTCAGGAAGCAGTGTACACGTTTTTTTTTTTTTTTGAGAATTGGGAAGCAGCGTACACTTCTTTTTTTAGCAACGGAAGCAGCGTACGCGAAGCAGTATGAAAACAGCCACGACAACGTTCGAATTAACAAACGGGGCAAACTTAGTTAACGGGCCGCGAATAAGCCAGCCCGCAAACAACCTCTATCAGCGAAACCTCCTCAACTTGACGCTCGCGAGCGTCGAGCAGGAGCTCTCAAGAGTTCAGACACGAAATCCCTAATTAGGATCCAGGTCGATCTTGCAAATGTCACTCCCATCTGCCACTTCTCGCAACCCGAAAGTTTATTCAAAATGTTATATTGCTTGAATCGTCCGTCTAAATTCTGAATGTTTTTCTGTTGGATTTCTCGTGTCAAGATCTCCAAACTAGATTACATGTTAATAGGTTCGATGAATTTTTATGAAAAAAGACGGAAGAGAAAAACTGGAGCTAGAAGCACGAATTTTCCTACTTTTTTTTGAGAGGCGGCTGTGCTTTCTCCTGGAACCAAATTTGTGCTCTCACGGGAAGCAAATCTGTGTGCTTCTTGTAGAAGCCAAAAAAAAAGAATGCACTTTTTTGCCCTTTCTGAGAGGCACATCTGTGCTTCTCGCAGAAGAAAATTTGTGCCTCCGCGAAAACCAATTTTGTGCTTCACGTGTAAACAAAAAACACATATTTTTTCTTTTTGAGAGGCATAGTTATGCTTCTCGCGGAAGCAAATTTGTGCTTCTTCTAAAAAAAGCAATCCCCCTCTTTTTCAAGAGGCACAATTGTGCTTCCCGTGAAAGAAAATCTATGTCTCAACGAGAAGCAAATCTATGTTTCTTGTGAAAGGAAATATTTATTTATTTATTGAGAGGCACATAGCCACAGTTGCGCTTCTCACGGAAACAAATCTATGCCTTCATGAGAAGCAAATATGTGCTTATCATGGAAGAAAAAAATCAGCGCAATTTTTTTCTCAAAAACCTTGGAAAACCAAGTACCCAAAAAACCTAGAAAAAACATCTAAAACGCGTACAGAGAAAAAATCCCGAGGGAGCGCCCAATATGCGACACGTGACGGTGGCTAAACACACCACTTGTCGCGCTCTCAGCGCACCAAAGTGACCCTCACGGTGCTCCCGTAAGGGGTGCCCCTTAACTAGTTGCTCTCCTTAAGGCCGGACACGGCATGACCTTTTTAATCACGGGCCTTTTATAGGGCTATTTTGACCTTTTCAGGGCATGGTGTTTTGGTCTTTTAAGGTTTTTGAAAATCTTTTTAAGGATGGTTTTGGCATTTTTAGCTGGGCTTCATGGCAAAGCAC